AAGCGCCTCAGTAAGTCTGAGGGGGTGTGGCAGGTTTTTCTCACTGAACAGGCAACAGACACGAGAAGTAAAAAAAATAAAAAAAGTATGCAGAGGGTTCTGCTCCGACTTTTCCTCCCGCTCAGGCCCAGGGTGGTCCGTGGGTCTCAGGGGCTGGGCTGCTGCTCCTTTCAACATTGGGTAAAGACCAGTGAGATCCTGAGGGCCTCTCCTCCTTGGACTGTTACGGCCTTCGGAGACGCCGTCTTGGGGTCACCAGCACCCAGACACTGATACACAGCTTTGTGCTTCTGTCTGTGAGAAAGTCAAGGCATGGAGAGTACTCTGGCAAAAGCTCAAGCGCAGCAAAGCTGAAACTGGTTAGTCTCTTCCACCTTGGGGAGCCATGGTGAATGCAGCAACCATAAAAATTAATTCATGTTGTATTTATTGTAGAGCGTGTGGAAGGAAGAAGAATTTGAAGTTTCACTTTCACAGTGCTGGTGTCCCTAAGAAAACTTAATTGCATTTCAAACATTGCCTCAAGGCCCAAAAGGAGGGCAGTTCTCAAGACAGGGAGGAATGAAAATGGAATTCTCTTTTGTAGGCTTTTCAGTAAAAACCAAACAAGCCAACCCCCAACAAAACCAAAAACAAGTGAACCTTTACTACATCCTCTTAAACATTTACCGTTTTCTCCCTGATGCCACATACTATTTTGAATACTTTTTTTCTACACTAGAGCTGTCCTCTGAGGATACTCATGGGAGAATGTTCTCGATCTTTAAGATTACTCTGCACTAGCTAATATCTGTATAGACCATGGGTGTTCTCTGAGATGGGCTGGGAGGTTAACCTCCACATCATAACTACCATATGAACCCAAACTATGCCAATCTAATACTTTGCTAAGTCCTAGATCACTGACTATACTTTAGACTGCTATAGAGATTTTTCACATTAAGAGTTGAGGGATGCTATAAACTTTTGCAAACTTCTGTTGATGTACTGAAATCTCTTTCTCTTAATGGTAATATTTGTTTTTAGCACTCAGTGTTCAGAAGAGCAGTCTATCCACTATGTGTAGAAAAAAAAGTCCCTCTGACTTAGGTTGGAGAATTTCTTACTAAGTTTCAATCATTTCACAAGCAGTAAATGGATACACAGATTTTAAGGCCAGACTGTAACACTACCAGTACCCAGTTACTCAATTTGATGCATCAGTAGGAAGTGTTTCTAGAAAAAAGCACCAGTTAGAACACCAACATAAAAATAAGTAATTCTTCTTAGGCAACTTCTTACTTCAAAGTATTCCAAACTAAACAAATGAAAGTTTGCTATCAAGAACTGCTGTTATTGTAGCAATTAAATATGCTGGTAGGCAGGACCTCCAGATTCCCTAGAGCCCTAAGGTGCAGTACTAATAACCTTGGGCATTGAAATGTATGGCTATAGGTATGAGTATAGCTAGGAATATATAAGATCTGCCCAAAATGCTTGCTATCTTCAGTCATAATCATTACGCACGATCATACAGATTAAATACTGCACTCCTCTGCACCTTCACTGGCACCTTCTGAAGAGTATTCTTCAGTATCTTGCAAGTTTTAAAAATCTTTAAAATGCTATTTAATTTCTACACCCTGTATTCTTGTAAATAAATATTTCATTTGTTGTTGCTACCCTGCACAGTGACCTGTGTCTTTGTATTTCTGTCATTTGATGCTTTTTTCCTAATGATGCAAGTGGAAACCAAGATAACAAAATCCTTTTTCTACCTCAGTATCAGGTGGAAAAATTAGAAGTTGGAGAGAGTTTACAAAAGAGTGACGGAAATTATTACATGACTGGGAAAACTGTTTCACAAGGAAAGATTTTTAAGGCTAAATATATATGTCTTGGTTAAATGCCAGCTAAGGACAAACAGTATTGGATGTATTGTTTCTATCATAAGCTGCCCTACAGAGCAGAGCTATGTGGAAATAATTTCAGTCTAATTCTTTGCTACAGGCAAAGAGAAACCCTATGCTGAAAACTTTGGGCCTCTGCTATGGTCTGCAGAGTAAGAAGGAAGCCATAAACATCCCCATGATGTTTAATAAAGAGGCCCAAGCTTTTTGGAAGACATAATTCCTAATGTTTTGCACTGTAAGACTCAAATCCTAGGGTGTCTGCCAATAATAAGCACTAACCATTTGGTCAAGTCTGCTATGCGATGATAAAGACACTTCCTATTTGCTTGGCGTGATTCATCTCTGAATCACATTGCATCAGAAGGGACACTGCTAGGAGAAGGTTATTAAACTGCACAGACGTAATGGTCTTCTAGTATGGCAATTACCATCCTCATTTCCTAGTACACACACCTTATTGAACATGTCTTGCTCTTGGTAGCATATTTGTCTCAGAAGTATGTCAAAATATTCAGATTAAGTCCTGTAATGGGCTCAAATAAGTGGCGAGTCTGAACCTCCTTCCCTCAGACCGAATTAGCGAGTCACGTCTCTATTAGCATACTTCTCTCCACAAGCATTATCCCGAAGCATTTGTCAGCAAATTTGTTGGCAATCCTCATTTCAAATGACTGTCATTGTCTCCCATCGCTCTGGCTTGAATGTTTTTCTGTATTGAAATTGTGGTCTGAGGAATGCAGGAGATACAAACACCCTACAAAATAATTCCAGTCCAGACAAAGCAGCAGTTTCCTCCCAGTTTATCATTCTCAGCAGCGTCTGAAGAGCGGCAGGGGGACAAGCTGGCATTCTGCATGTACAAATCTGTAGTCAAACCATGGCTAATGCGACATGGCTAGTGCATGAAACTTTGATCCGTGGATGCAGCACAGCCAACATCTGAAAAAAAGCTGTAAAAAAGATGGCACAGAGATTTGCAATCCTAACATTTTTTTTCCTGATGTTTGAAATGTGTTAAATTTTTTTTTGGCTTAAAGTTTAGATATCAACAATACTGGGATACAGGCCAGTCAAATTGGTTACTGTGTATTCCTCATTACAAAAATAGCAGCAGCAGCAGCAGAAGATAAAACATCCCTTTGGTTTCTCTTTGGAGTGGTAGAGCGCCTTTCTGTCCTGGTCTGTTCTAATGTTACAGTGGACGTATAGATCCTGGCAATGTGCTAAGCAAAGTGACTGACATGTGCCATGTGCCTGTTCTCAATTTGTCTCTAGGAAAGAAGTTTGCATGTTGCATTTCAAAACAAATGTGCAAATGTGCAGTGAGTTTATGTAAAAGAAAACAAGGTCAGAAAAACATACCTTGTGCTTAAACAAGGTAGTTAAAGTTATGTGTTATTCTCCTGAGTTCTTCTGAGAAAGTGCTCCTCAGACTTCTATGCAAAGGTACTCTTCCCTGTGCAGACAGCAGTACCCTTGCCCCAAATAAAGTTCAGTCATGCTGTAGTTATCAGCTGATCTTCAGAGCACAGCCTCTCAGATATCCTGGGCACAGGCCACTGAGATAAAAAAAAAAAAAGATAGGAGTCCAGTTTTGACTTAATTGGATTGGTGCAGAAGTAAATGCAGAGACCTGCTGCCTTCAGTGGCCTTTGGATCAAGTTTTTCATGCTTAAATTTCAATAGAATAGAAATGAAAAAATAATATAATTGTGATAATTTCTAATATAAACTCTTGTTCTGTGCTAGAAATTGTTATTGGCATCCCTGAGAATTGAGCATTGTAGCATCCCTCATACATTTCTGAGGCATTATTCTCAGCTTCCCAGGAACTGAGCCCTTATCATCCCAACTGAGCAGCTTGGTGTCTCTGATCTGTCTGGCTGTGTTTTCTTTTCCAGCTTTCCCCTATGGCTGCTACCGCTCTCTTCCTCTTCACTTTGTGAGCAAATTACCTTGACTCACACATATCCCCCAAACAATTGCCTTTTCGGTTCCAATGAAGGCTGAATCCCAAGCCACTACAATAAAGTTGAAAATCTTTGCCACTTTTGTAGGTCGTAATCACAGCCTGATTCCCGCACTAAAAGAGATCAATAACTCCAGATAGATTATGAGCATGATAAAGCTCTCCAGTGCCCCAAGATTTAAACATGTTTATTCTCATTTCCATTTCTTTGGTTTAGCTGGTGCTGTGTTTTGCCCCCAACTCTGCAGGGTATTTGCAGATGAAGAAAGAAGAGCAGTTCATGAGTAAATCTCAGAATACTGTGCTGTCATATAATAACTACTGCTTTAATCTCATACTCAATAAAATAATATAAACTGACATTTAATAAATCATAGTAAAATACTACCTGGTCCTCTGCGAATGTTTTGTCTCATGAAAGTTCTAGTCCAGGTCCCAGC